CATTTGCTGGAAAGACTGGCATAACTCAAATTCAGGAAGGGGCTACCAACAACAGATAACTGTGGACGGGCAAAACACCTGCTGATCAGACCTCCACGAGGGACGGACAAGACCAAATGACCGCAGCAACGGAGAGACATTTCAAAGATGGACGGACGAGACCAAATGGCCGTAGCAACGGAGAAACAATTGATTCAAGAGAAATGCTGGAGAAAGGTTACAACGGAAAGAAGGTCGCATAGCACTCAAGGGGAACAGTCAAGGGCCCAGAAATGTAGCCGCACAATCCAGCCTAGGAGGGGATTCAAAGAGTCACAAAGGTGTTGGTAATGTTTACCGGATGAGGGTTTAGGGTTTTAGTGACGCTTTTTAAGGGAATTAAAAAAAGGGCGGGACAGAGGGTATTGTGGCTCACGGGCAGGACGGGTAAGTGGGGGTACAAAGGCTAGCTCGGACAATGGGTGAGCTCTTTCTAGGTGGCATGGATCTATCTGGCAGATCTGGTTATCAGGTCTGAGAGGAAAGAGTGAAGCATGGCAAGCTGGCAGTCAATCCTCCACCAAGGTGGAGCAATCAATGCTGCTCAGGGGTCTTTCGGCCAGACGGAAGGAAGCATGGGTGGTTCTTATTGTAATGTCTATTCTGACTTGCCGGTGGAATAGGAACCGGACTGATGCTCCCCAGAATGGAAAGGAGCCAGGACCATAAGGTCCTGTTTTTGTTAAACCACTTGTACCTTTGCTGCGTGGGAAAATAGTGGGCCTCGGTTGGTCCTCTGACTTTTTCGGAGGCTGAAACGAAGTGACGACCGCCGATCAGATTTATCAATGGCAGTCGTCGTCGGGCCCGACCCCTGAATCTTTAGGAGTTGGGAAAACTGCCACTTTCCCCATTTTCTCAACACTGGCGGAGGTACTAGTGTTTTTTTTTTTTTTTTTTTTTTTTTTTTTGAAAAGGTATATGATTCTCTGCATGTGTGGTCCTTGCAGGTTGACAAATTGTGCCTTGTAGGCCTCACCAGCTGGACCCCCTGCTCTGTCTCTTATACACATCTAGATGTGTATAAGAGACAGCCTCACCAGCTGGACCCCCTGCTAATGCCTGCCGAGTTATGGATGTGGCTTCCGAAACCACAACTCATTTTTCAGTTGCCAGACCCCGAGCCTGGGACGGTATCCCAACCAGACCCGCTTGGGATGATTTTCAATTTCCACCACGGCCAAACCTGCGCCGGGCCTGTTTCTGGAGTCAGGCCTACTGTTTACCAACGGGGACTTTTCTTGGTTGCTAAGCCGGAGTGCGGTTCAAACCACCAGTCCATCCGAAGCTACAAATTGACACACAAAAAACTTGAAAAAAGTCCATTTTGCCAGGCGTTTACCACTGAACCTCCACACCGACTGGGCACTCTAGATGTTGGCCTGGTGCAGTGGCACTCGATACAAGCAAGATCTAATAAATGCCATCTGTGGACGGACTGGTGGTTTAAGCCTTTTAAGCCTTTTAAGGGTTTGTTTTCCTGGACACCGATACCCTTGCCAACCAGTCCGTACCCAGCAAGGCGTGTTCATTGTTCAGGCTGGCCGGAACTCCTTCTCTGCCTATCTGACAGTTATACAGGCATGGAAACAGTTTTTTGTAACAAAAGTTTTGCTTTGTTTCCTTTACAGAGGACAGATAGGCAATACACCTCGATCAGGAGGCTGAGAGCTCATGACTGTGCTGTGATATGGGAATGACCTGGACGACGGATGAGGATAATTTTCTCCTGAATTTCAGATCAGAATCATCAGATGATTAAAAAAATCAGCTGTTAGTTCGTAGTCTGCAACTTTCTGGTGGCGTTCTTTTGCACCCTTTTTTTGTTACTGAAAACTTTGTTCTAATTGGCCCCAAAGTCTTCTTTCCTCTCGTCTCCCCTCCCCATCTCTCCCCCTGTTGCCTGGCAGGGGGGGGAGGAGGAGGAAGAAGGTTTGGTGCCCAATAGTTCCTGAGGGCCTGAAAGCAGTTGCATCTTTCTTTTCCTTTTTTTTTCCCTTCAGTTTCAAATTCCAATCTGGATTTCAATTAGGTACCAATAGGAACCCAATCAGGACCCGATCGGAACCCAATCAGAACCTCTCTCATGTGCCATGGTCATGGGAGCAATGGTCCTTCGTGAGTGTGACATGAAGTTTTTCAACTGTGTTATGATCCTGCCCGGTCGTTGATGCAAAACTGAACTTTGAGAGGATGCGATCATTGCAATTCAAAGAAAAAGTGCGAATAAGACAAAGAAGAAGCGCGAATAAGACAAAGAAGAGCAGTGAATGAAGAAGAAGAAGAAGAAGAAGAAGAAGAAGAAGGAGGAGAAGAAAAAAATGAGAAAAAGACAAGATCAGGTCAATGTCTCCTCCCCTCTACTCTCAACCAATGTCTGAGAGATAGATCCCCTCACTGCCAGTACCGCCTCTCTCCTGTGTCCTTCCTCATGCAGCGCCAACCAGGTAACTGATGATGTAGATCCGCCATAGCCAAAGGTAAGCCTTCCTCTCGATTCCCTTTTTCTTCCTCCTCTGGCCTACATCTTCCTCCTCCCATCTCCATAGCTCAGTGTGGGCATCTAATACTACTCTCTCGAGTCTCTCCATAGCTAGGCACTCACTTCTTCTCCTGCATAGCCGTTGAGGACTTCTCCATCATCCTCGAACTCCTTGCTCACCCAGGAGCCGCCTCGCCTTCTCGGTGGATGTTACATGCTGCACCTGCACACAGGCGCCATTCGCGGGGCCCGACGGTTGCTGAGGGGTCCCCAGGCCGCATGCCATCCAGGACGCACCCTGGAGGCCCACGTCGGCCTTTTAGGCCGCAGGTAAAATCTGAGGCAGCATTCATTCATTTATTCATTTATATGCTGTCCTATTTTTGTCGCTTCAGACGGTGTTTCGGACTTGCAGCCCCCCAAGGCACGGCCTTGGGCTGGGTGGACCGGAGGCAGGGCCAAAAAGGCCCAGGCGCATGTCTGCGCCTTGCTGCACCAGCAGCACGGTCTGGGCATCCGGTAGGGGCCCCAACCGTGCAGGCCGTTTCAGGCCACACAGCAGCCTACCCAGTAGGGCCCAGCGCACTATATAGCTGGGCCACACCCTGGGCACAGGACAGTTCGGACAGCTCACTTTTTGAAGCGACACGCTGCTGGTTGGGCACTGCGCTGTTTAGCGCTGCGCTGCGGAGTTGGAGGCTGAGCATCGGAAGGCAGAGGGGTGGAGGCCATACCTGCGTTAGGGGACTTACCTGGCGCCATAGCTGGGACTCCCCGGGCGCCTGCGACCTGCACATGGCAACAACAGGACAACGGTCAGCTCGGTGGTGGCACCTGCAGGTGAGACAGCGAGGAAGGCGACATCTTCTTCTTCTTCGTCGGCCTCCCTCTCGTCGGCCTCCCTCTCGTCTCCTCCTTCCTCCTTCCTCCTCCTCCTCCTCCTCCTCCTCCTCCTCTTCTTCTTCTTCAGATAGAGAGAGAGAGGTTACAGGCAGAGGAAACAGGCAGAGGTTACGGCGGGCATAGCGCCCAGGATCTGATCCGACATTTTTGAGTCAGACATTGTTTGGACATTCGGCAAGCGACTATTTTTGGACTTCGCTATTGCAACCTTGGTCTTCTCCCTCGCCTCCATCTTCGTCTCACCTCTCCCCCCATCTCTCATCCGTGGTATCTCCCCCATGTGCGTGTACAAAGGAGGGACCTTTCTTCTATGTGTGCGGTCCCTCCTCCTCCTCTCACATGTGTGGTGTATAATGGGATGCCGCATCAGTCCCGGTCAGGTCAGGACTTATCTCTGAGTCTTCCACTGCGCTACTTTGTGCCATTTTGTATGTACCAGGAAGTACATTGCTTGTTGATGTCTCACTGACATTGCATTGTCCATTCAGTCCTTTTCATCACATTGCGGATCCTTGGCTCCAATGCATATACATTGGCCAACCGGACATGTATCAGTGGAGCTGCAGTATGACTGCCAGGCGAATGAACCGTGGACTAATCGCACCGAATGATGCAGCTTTGCCTCTTGGCCTCCAGCCCCTCTACCTGCAGGTACTAGCAATGTCTACCAGCGCACTTGGGCCTACCCGTTTCTGTCTTTTTGGCAGGAACATCACTACACACCCTGAATCTAGACCTAGATGGATACAGTTCATGTACCATCATCACCTAGCTACTATCGTACTGGACTCGAGGACCGTTCCGAGTTGCTTGCAAATCCCTACCGGGTGCCTAGCAAATTCTACCTTTAATTCTGGCACTCCTCAAATTTCCGGTCCTCCGGTAGCCTAAAACCACCACTACCTTTTCCCATGTGGGATGCCATCGGGCCCCCGATTCTTTAGGAGGCCGAAACGAAATGACGGCCGCTGATGAGATTTATCAACGGCGGCCATCGTCGAGCCCAGCCTCCGTTTTTCAAGGAGTAGGCTATTTTGAGGTGTTTTACTATTTTCCTGTTTTCCCGGTGGTGGGAAAGGTAGTGGTGCTTTTAGAAATATATCAGGTCTGTCTCTGCATCCACACCTATCTGCTAGCGTACCCCTGTTCGAGGCACCGAAACACAGCACGGAAAATATAGTCTGGGAACACAGACTTGTACTCAGGGACAGATCTGCAATTTGGCTATGGGAGCAAACACACAGGGGCGTACGCATGTCATCCATCAGCAGGTCACACTCAGAACAAAGTTCAACAAAGTTGAACAAACACAGCAAAACAGAGTCACAAAAACTCGTTCTCAGAAAAATGCAGCTCAGACTCGGAAATCTCAGGAAAGCTAACAGGGACAGCCACGTTCTCAGAGAAATGCAGATCTCTCAGTCCGTATCGGCTGTTGTGTGATGTGTGCTGGTAATTGCGAATTCATTCCATGGACCGTCGTGTTTCTTCCTGCAATTTTGCACCTTTTTTTTGCAGGTACTTTCCGCTCATGTGAGTTACCGCTCATTTGTTTTTTGCTACTTTGTTGCTGCAGGTTGACGTTGCTGAAGACTCTCGACATCTCGGGAAATATGCTAGAAGACCTTGGCTTTGACTTGGGGTGTTTGTCAAACCTTGTTAGGTGAGCCTGAGCCAATTCTCTTCCCCAAGTCTCTCTTGGGGTGTCTGTGTGCCTCTCTCTCTCTCTCTCTCTCTCTCTCTCTCTCTCTCTCTCTCTCTCTCTTTGGGTGTCTGTCTGTCTGTCTGTCCGTCTGTCTGTCTGTCTGTCTCTCTCTCTCTCTCTCTCTCTCTCTCTCTCTCTCTCTCTCTATCTGTCTGTCTGTCTGTCTGGCAATCACTCTCGCGTGCCGATTTTTGCTTTGTTTGTGCAGCGGTGGGTGGATGAATTTACTGATGGATTTTGATGACAATTCCCGTTGGATTGCAGGCATCGCTCCTCGGGGAGGCCGTGACCGGGAAGGGTATCTGTGCACAGTTGGGTCTGGAGACGGGGATCCCGCTGACGGAGTCGGAGCCGTTGATTATCTTCTTCATCGTGTTCAATGTGCTGGGCGCCATCGGCGCGCTAGGCGATCGGGGTCGCTTCGTCGACGAGAAGACGGGACTGGAGCGCGCTCTGATCAGCCCCGGCAAGGGGTTGAAGTCGGCCCTGGGTTTGTCGGAAACGGGGCCCACATTCGGATTCACCAAGGCCAACGAACTGTTCGTGGGAAGAATCGCGCAGCTGGGGTTCGTCGCGTCCATCTTGGGAGAGATAATCACCAGTAAGGGAGCCCTCGCTCAACTCAACATCGAGACAGGAGTGCCAGTCGGCGAGATCGAGCCCCTTCTCATCTTCTTTATCCTCTTCTTCTTCGTAGCCGCTGTATTTCCTGGCAGCGGCAAGTTCGTTATCGACGAGGACGAGTGAAGAGTAAAACCAAATCGAACTTGACGTCGTTGTACTGTCGTGAAGAGGAGGTTTGATTGACTATAAGGTGGAACACTCGGTTGTCGGGTGCACATTCGGTTGTTGGTTCTCGATTGAACCCTCGGTTGGGCATTCGTGGTGAAGTTCTATTGACTAGTCGCGCGGAGAACACTTAGGTCAGCGAATCCTTGTCTATAGAGTCTATATCTGCCAGGAGAATTGTCTGCTTAATTAACCTGTAGTTCTTTATAATCGACACGTATGTGGACATGTACATATCCGTGAGAGNTCTCTCTCTCTCTCTCTCTCTCTCTCTCTCTCTCTCTCTCTCTCTCTCTCTCTCTCTCTCTCTCTCTCTCCTTTTCAAGGAAGGTTCCGCCTCCATCCTGGAAGACCATGCCAAGAACTGAATTGAAAATTTGAAATTATTAAATACCAAGTTCCTTCCCTTCCTGCCTCCTCCCTTTCGTATGTTGTATTCGTTCAACAGGATGTGAACGCTTGATCTGTTTATTAGGAGTTAAATGTGTGTACTAGTGTACCATCCAGTCAGGAGGCAGGCACTCTTCGCTCCCATTTGTCTTTTCTTGTCCTGTAATAAAAAATAGTTAAAAAACTTTAAAAAAGTTAATAAAACTGAATAAGAAAAGCAATTTCTGTGTAATGGACAAATAAAGTCAAAGGAGCGCTGCATGCCATCCTCCCTCGTTCAGCTGAGAACATCAATTTACCGTCGTGTTTATCTCACCCCTCCTTGCAGACAAGCCCTACCTGTGAATGTTCACATGGTGAAGGGCTTGTCAGCAAAGAAGGGTGAAGGGTGAGATAAACGTTGCGTGATCAAGAAGTGGGACAACATGAAAGGGGGTGCGAATAACAGATGGGGTAATAGAGTAGGCAATGTTCACATGGTTTCTTCCTATGTTTCTAACTTTCTACCCTATTTGTTATTCACGCTTTTCATTTTGTCCCACCTGCCGAATGTATTACATTGGGGAAAAAAAAAGGAATTCCTTTTCTGGACCAGTGGTGGCCCAAATTGCAGCGTATCTTTCCAAGATCTCCCCAACAGTCTAATGGTGTGTCAGATGTCAGAGTCTTTTTTTCTTTTCTTTTGGTCAGACTCAGACTCACTGACAGACTCACTGACAGACTCACTGACAGACTCACTGACAGACTCACTGACAGACTCACTGACAGACTCACTGACAGACTCAATGACTCGGTCAGAGTCTATACGTACGTCCCTACACCACAGGTTCTGCTTTTTTTGCTATTTATCCTCCTCCTCCCCTCTTTTGCAATATGCATTCTGGGGAGCGACAGTCCGGTTTCTATTCACCCATCAAGTCAAAGATGAATACAAGATTGACACACACACACTCCTCTCCATTATTGCTGAGAGGCCCGAGTGGACAGCATTGATTACTTCCGAACGTGTGGAAGGATGTACCACCCCTCACCCCTGCCTAAGTTAGCTTATTGGAGCTACGCGTTTTGTGTTTAGCTTGTGAGCAGAAGTTCTCACTAGCTACTCCTCTCAGCTATGTTGCTATCAGCTTGGTGTGTGCGGCTTTTAGAGCAGGCTGTGACTGTTCGTCCTTGTTGGTGTCTCTAAAACCTTGTCCTCCTGTGACTTCCTGAACTGTTCTGATCTAATTGCGCTTCTAATAAGCCTTCTATATGCCATTTCTGTACCTTAAAAAATCCGTTGTCTATCATAGCTTTGTACTCTAACTTCGTCCTCAGTCTGCTGTTTCAACATTTCAGTCTAAAACCCTGAAGGACCTAAACCCTCTACAGTGTCACCCCCTAAAGGGTTTCTCCTTCTTTCTAATGTAACGTATGCTCCTGATCCAGTGGGGCTTTGTCCTCTCTTTTACTCTCCTTGTTGTCGGGTTATTGAGTTGGCAGGGTAAGCTAAGGGATTCTGTTGGTCCCCTCCGCCCCCTTCCTCGCCAGCTTTTCTATCTGTCGTGGCTCGGATCGCAACTGCAGTACTACCCCATCAGTTCCCCTGGAGAATCCCCCCCATCGCTGTCCAAATCCCTATCACACCCCCGTCCCCGCACCCCTATTCCTTCCTCCTGTTGTGGTCCTCTGACGTCGTTATCCCTTGAACCCTAGCAACTCTTCTTTTGTTTCCGAATTAATCTCCGCCTCCATCGTGTTGCCAAAGCCTCGCTTGCTTCTACCCTGCTCTGCTCATCTCCATCCTACGTTACTTGGCGCCCTATGTTTGGCTGGTCGAGCCTCCTTCTCCCCTTGTCCACCATGTCCATTTCCGTCCTTTTTCCTGTAGCTGTGCCACTTTTACCTTGGCCTATTACGTTGTTGTTATAGGCCTCCCTTATCTGTTGGGCCTTGTCCGGGGCGGCTTCCTTTTTTTTCGTGTGTTGCCCCCCATTGCGCTGTGATCTCGGTTATTAATAACATTCTCAGTTCTTCCCTTGCTTCGTTTTGATGCCTTCGCTGTCCATCGATTGTGACCTGACATCTACCTTTCCAAATCACCCACATCCCATATTGGCGAAGCTTCTGGTAGCAGTTATATTCAAACTTCGTCCATGTATGCGATGTCCGTATTTCCAGTAACACCGAAATGTCGTTGGTAGGGAATGGGTTCTTTTCTCACTCTTTGCCACGATAGACGAGACAAAGTTCCTTTTCCGAGCTTCTTTCCTTGGGCCTCCTCCCTTTATTGAACCAGAGTCTATTGCCAGACATTTACTGGCAATGCTAGATATGTATAAAAGGGCCTTTACCCGATATAGGCCTCAGGCCTTGTAAAAATAGAGCAGCACGGGCCTTGTAAAAGTATAAGCATTGTGAAAAGGTATCTTGCCAGGGCTCAGAAACGTGAAAACAGGTCAAAAGTCAAGTTCTCTATCAACAGGCACATCTAGATCTAAGGCAAAGGGCATTGTCAAAAGACTTACCTGTTCACCAGGAGATGTGTATGTCATGTCTGTTCGAGTAAGGGTGTGTCTGTACGTGTAGGCAGTGTACCTGTTCGTGCAATGGAAAGTGCCTGTTCAAGTAGTAAATGTGTCTGTTCGCTTAGAGTTGTGCCTGTCCAAAAGTGAAGTCAGTAGGCACAGTCCCAGTTCTGGTCTAAGTCAAGGGGTCAGTCCAGATCCAGACTTTCAAGTCCAAATCCAGGCTGAAGTGCCTCAGCAGCAGTTGAATCTCATTGGGACTGTACTGGGACACATGCAATGCAGGGTCTGGGACAAAGGGAGAGGCTGAATTGAGCCAATGCAGACCCAGCGAGGAGTGGCCAGCACTATAAAAAGAGCTGCCTGCCTCATTCCT